CCTCTCCTCCCCTCCCTTTGTTTATTCTCTCATTCCCAGCAAATCCAAACTCCCAAAGTGTTAAAAAGTGCATCCTTTAGTACAGGGAGACTTTCCATAGCTGGACCTGTCTCAAACTGCCATGACTGCTTTTAGCTTCTTGGGAACGAGCTCCTTAAAATTACAAATCGCCTTGTCACTGCAAAAAGTCACATTTCTATCCTTGCTCAATCTAGCAGCACTTTTGTGAGCAGGGAAATGCTGAATTTAACGACTCTGGGGGAGGAAAACAATGCAGGGCAGGATGAGTAATGCCATTAGTAATGAAGTAACTGTCTGATCAGAGTTAACACCTGATTCTTGCCAAGGCCAATTCAGTATTGTATTTCAAAATGAGAATTTCAGGGCGCAGTGGGGAATGAAACCAGAAGTCATCCTACATCTGTCAGGCTGGACTGAGTTGGCAGCTGCTGCTCAGACCAATAGATGTTTTCAGAGAGAGACAGCAGGGTCTGAATATGAAGATGTGAAATCTGTGTGCAGCTGGTACCAACCATGCTGGAAGCATTTTGCCACATGGAGGAGTGTTGAAAAAGTATCTGTTAAATCTGGTACTCCATCAGGCAATGGTTTAATAGGCAAGGCTGGCCTTTGTTTTTAATACTCTTAATGGCAGCGAGCAGTGTGGGTTAGGAGTGACAAGAAGAGATTTGGGAAGGACTAAAACATTTCTAATCAAAGCCAGTTCTGTTCCCAGGCAGATGGAAAACAGAGCAGCTGTGGAGAAATGAGCTGTGTTTCTCTGGGCCGTGGTGCAAGCTGTTGCACAGTGGGCTCCTTTGCACTCCATCAGACTTCATAAAACTTCAGGTCACTAAGCAATTAGAGGGGGAGGATTTAAGCCCATTTGTGGAGTCCAGAGCTACCACCAGCTTCTCAAGTGAGGAGAACTACAAATGTCAGCTCGCTCGCTCCCTGCAGGAACTCACTGGTAACCTTATGTAATATTTAACAGGCTTCTTGGACTAATTAAGTATATTACTTTATATAGTAACTAACATATCTCTAATATGTATCAAAATTTAATTCAGTTAAATTCATTATCGCTGCTCAACATGCACCCAATTCTCTTTCCCCTTATAAAGATGCAAATCCATTTATTCTTTGTGTGCATCAGGGACAATGATGGAGCCCTGGGTTCACCAGACCCCTTCCAAACACAAACATAGACAACCTTGCTCTTGCCTCTGCCCATTCTCCAGATCACCCTAATTCAGAAACACCTTCATCTGTACAAGGATTTTCCCTGACTCATGGCTTTTCTCTTATAAAACCCCCATGTCTCGACCCTATATCTGTCTGCTTGAGACAATGCCAAGCCTGCCCTTAGATCTGTAGCAAAGGCAGATGGAGAATGTATTTCCTACTGAGCCGTGGTGTGCCTAATGTATTCCCTTCTATTAACGATTGCTCTGGGTCCTGATCTCCAATTCATCATTTTCATCCTTTTGATGTTCATTCTAAGGCAGCAGAGACTAACAGAGTATGTCAGGCATCCAGCTACAAAGGCATGGGGAAGAGGAGTGAAAAGGGACAGTGACAGGAGGAAGATGAAGCATTTAGGAGGCATCAGCTGACTGCAGGCAAAGCTGCAATGATGCTCAGGATGTTTCTGCCCGTGCTGTTATCTACTGTCTCCCTCTTCCAAGCCCAAATCTGTGTTGCTGAAGTTAGTTTGACCTCTAGAAAAGTCATTTGGAGTCAGATTTGTGTAAAGATAGTACAGGGCAAAGGAAACAGAGCCCTCCTGGGTCTGGAGAGCTGAGACTTCCAGCAGGTCTCTTTATTGGTCTGCCTTGCAGCAAAGAGGGTTTTAGCAAATAAATCCATCTCATCAGCCTCCCTGGGCTTTGCTGAGGCTTCTGGCCTGAAGAGAGGGAGTTTGTTGTGGCTGTGAGTAACAGGATCCTCCTTTTCCTGACTGTGTTGATGACAGGGCTCTTCTTGTGAAGGCTGTCTTGGTAAGCTGTCCTTGGGGACTCCAAATGCTACAGAGCTGCCACTGGATGTCACAGCTGCTGTGATCTGAGTTCAGACCATCCTGGAACAAAAAAAAAGTGAAAGAGAAGAACTGAAAGTCCTTCTCTCTCCAGTGAGTAATCACATCCTGCTGGTTCTGACCTCTGCCTGACCAGAGTGCAGCCGTGCTGGAGGGAGAAGGTGAGGACAAGGAACATGAATCACTTTCAGTGCAATTTAAGGGACTGAATAACACAGGAGCTGTACCAAAACAAGATGTGCAGGCGCTGGGTCATCCTTCTGAAAGGTGTTTGCTGTCATCCCCCAGCTATTCTCTGCCTCAGCTCAGCAGGATCTGGTCAGATCCAACACCTCCAGAGGATGATGGTCAATCAGTGAATTTCCTGCATGGTGTAGGCCCAGAGAGTAGAGAAGAAAGAATCTGGGGAATGCAGGAGCCAGATCTCCTTTTAGGCTGCATGACAAACTTGGTTTTGGGTA